CAAGTTCCTGCAAAACTAACAATATTCCCTCACTCTCAACTGCACTTTGGATGAATGATTACCAGCAGTAATAGCAGTAACAGCCTATTTTGGTAGGGACAGAGATGGGTAAACTAACAGATATCATCGTCTTAATGACCACTCTGTCTCTAACATAAAGAAAAAAAAAAACTAAAAGGAAAACAGAAAAAGAGGAGGCAACAATACAATAATAGACTGCCCAATCTGAAAGGCTCCTGTTCAGTCAATTGTCCAACAGAGGTCATAAAATACTGTACTACTAGTTAGTGTACAGAGGTGCATGTGCTGCAGCTCAGCCTCAGTGTTCTGCTCAAGATCCCATGTGGATACCATTAAACAGCCAGTTCCATGCTGGTGATGTAAGCGGTGTGTAAATTAAAACAGAGAAAAGCCCCTGAACGTGACAAACCCCCTAGTCCCATATGGAGGTGAAGACAGACGCCATGCAGGCTGGAAGAATTCCCCCTGCACCTGTCCCTTTTTTAAGACAATCCACAGAGTAAGTTCAACCTCCTCATGCACGACCTTTTGTTTTAGTTGCTCACCTTTTGGATTATGATAATGGCCTAAGATAATGGCCTGGATCCATGACACAGCCTCTTGTTATGGTCCACAGTAATGTACTATATGTGGATCTGTGGGTATGCACTCCCTGAAGAGGCTTCACAGTTGCTTCACACATGTTCTTACAACAGCTGCAACCAGTGAGGAGCCTGATGGTCCACTGGAGATTTGGTTCTCACAATTAGGATAGTGGCTTAAGACTGTAAATACTTGGACAGCCACACCTGGAAATTAGTAACATTCTGTACCTGACATGTAGTCATGTGTTTGGAAACACATATATTTAGGAGAGAAACTAAACCTAAGATACAAATTAGGTTATATATGAAAATACAAAATTACATAAAATAAGATAATCCTTTATTGTCATTGTAACACGTACAATGAAATTTTAGAGTGACCTCCAGTCGGTACAGCAGTAGAAAAAACATAACATATGAAATAAGACCATATAAAAAACTTAACTGCTAGAAAAACGAAATAAGCAACAGTGGCAAGATGTCGGTTTTCTTCCTCCTGAAGTTGACAATGGCCTCCTTAGTCTTTGAGGTATTAAGGAGCAGATTGTTCTCTCTGCACTATCAGCCTCTCCACCTCATCCCTGTAGGCAGTCTCATTCCCCCAGAGATAAGCCCCACCACCGGGGTGTCATCAGCAGGTTTTACAGTGGTGTTGCCATGGTGGGCTTGTAAAATATTTTATATTAAAGTTATCCGTGCACTCTCCTCCTTGTGCACTTTTGGGACAAACCATATCTTAGTAGCAGTGAGAAAGATTTTGGTTCAGAATTGAATTCTCACACATAAAAAGTGATATGACTGACTGCAGCCAATCCTCACTGTCAGGATTATCACTTTTTGTTTTAGAAAAACTATTTTCCAGCTAATGTAATCAAACAAGAGAAAACATATTATAATCCAAAGTGAGATCCAGCTGGCCTTAAAGTCAGTCTGAGGGCAGACAACATAATAGCCACAGTTTCCCAGCCTCAGACCTTTGTTGCATCTCTGTCTTTGTCTGCACTGTGACTGTCAAATAGGAGCAAACATCACAACAATAATATTTAAAAAATTACATTACATTAGTTCCTCACACTTTGGTGTTATATTATTATAATTATAATTTTATTATTATTATTATATTATAATATTAATTTCAAAAGTTTCAAAGATTTCAGACGTCTGTGAGTTGTAGCTTGAAAAGCATCAGGGTTATGAAGGTGTAATCAGGTTTATCTTAGCCTGTGCCTGTACTTTACCTGTATAAAGTAGATCTGCATTATGAACTGAGAGTATTAGGTTTTAAAGCCATGCATGAATTATGGATGGTCTGATGAAGAGATGCTATAGATTTGCAAGAAGGAAAATGTAAGTTTGAGGAACTTGACCCATTTAAAGTCCCAATAAAAGTTGGGATGTGTTTGCCTCCACCAATTGGCCTGCGCCAGTTTTTATCAGTCTCACAAATCCCTTGCATTACAGATGTGCAATGCTCAACCACAGGAGCATCCCTATAGGCTGAACAAATGACAGCTACCTGAGTCTGGTTGTTCCAGAATGAGCCAAGTCCGAAGGCCACGTTCTACATCATCTATCTTTCACTGTTTTCTTCAGTGTAACTTACAGTGTAAACAATATCTTTATTGCATATTTTGATTTGGCTTGATAGTTTTCTTATCAAAAATGAAACAAGGGCTTGTTAAACAAAGAGTCCTTGTAACCAGCTGAGATTTCAGACAAAACAACTCTTCTTGTCTGGTGTTCTCGTCAGATAAGAACACATGAAGAAAAAATAAATATCAATCCAGACTATGTTGCAATTCTTGCTTGGGTAACTTTATACATCGTCTTTTTACCCATACAACCTTGCATTTGAGGGTGATTTACTGTAGGTGGGTTGGAATACATTATTCACTCTTTAACAACCTGCACCACAGCGCTGCTGGCAGAGGACTGAAAGTCTTTGTAATGTGTTTATTTCCTGCTGCACCATTTCCACCAAATGACCCAAAGAAAATGGCCAGAGGTCAAGTAAATCACTCCTGGGTGTGAACACACACTGACTAAGTCCATCAGCTGTTTTTAGCGCTCTGTCAAGCTGGAACTGTGGATCTTCACAAGTGTAACCAGAGTAGGTCACATTGCCTCAGCGCCTTGTTAAAGTTTAATCCATATTGCCATTGTGTCACACAGAGCAATTCTTGTAACTATGGCAGTAGACAACTTGCCACCCCAACATCCCTGCCAACCACAAACAAACCCAGAGGGTGAGCTCCCTTAGCAACAGCTGAGTGGGTCTGCAGTAAAAGCCCCACTGGTAAAATGAGCCTGTGGGTGTGGATCTATATTCAGAGAAACGTTACAAAATGGGATTTCATTCAACTCTACACTGTATGATTCCTCGGGGAGCACTGCTGAAAAATGTCAGTGTCTGAATGAGAGCAGGTAAGAGCAGTCACAGAACTGTCATCATTGTGGGAGAGACGCTGAAAGGCACAATGTACTGTAACCCTAACCCTCACTACACACATGGCTTTTGTTAAAAGGCTGTTGATAACCTGGCTCGGCCACGCAACCCAAAAGGCTAAATCAGTTCCAGAGGTGTGTACTGTTTTTCTCTAAAATGTGTCAGGCTGTTAAAATGGGCTTGTAAAAAAATGAATTGTTGTAAATTATTGTGTAGTATTGTCTGGAGTCAGACCCTTTTATTAATTAATCCTATACTGTAGTGGCAGTACTCTGTTTGGTCAGTAAGTCTGTCCTTAGCTCTTTTTCTCATTGTATTTGTTGGTTTGTATTTTTCATTCCTTTATAATTATGCAAAAATATTTGTTCAAAAAGTTGCTTGGTTTTTAGAGCTGAATGGATCCAAAACTTTAGGACTAGTTATTGATTTAAACACCACAGAGAGTGTTATCTGGAACCGCACGATAAACTTGACTGACTCCACGCAGGAAATACTTGACACCAGCTAAAGCAGTGGCTCCCAAATGTTTTCTGCTGGGACCCCCTTTTGTGGATAAATATATTTTTGAGGCCATACATGCCAGTTATATTTACCCATCCAAAATCTAATATGGAGGCTAGATTCAGGAGCACTGGTTTTAGAAACAGAGTCTTAGGACACACGATTGAATTACTGCACCACTGTATGTTTTAATGTGATTATTCCATACAACTTATGTTTTGTGAATGTGTTAATGGCTTGGAAATGGCCAATATTTTGTTAAAAATTATTTTTTTTGCAACCCAACATAAGGTTACTGAGGGTTTTACAGAACATACACAGTTCCTGCTAAAGCACAACATTTTTGCATGAATTGTTTGTTTTGTTATTATTAGTAGTATTAATAAATTAAACTAACATTGTAAAACACAGTCTTTTCTAAATGTCTAAGATAAGATAAGATTTACTTTACTGTCATTGTAACATGTACAACGTAGTTTTAGAATGACCTCCAGTCGGTGCAGCACTATCAGCCTCTCCACCTCATCCCTGTGGGCTGATAGGCTGACATTTGTAATTTTGTAAACAATATTTTCAACATTTTTACGTCTATATTGATTATTCTGATAGTAGAGAGCCAGGAGGAGAGATGGGGAATGACATGCAGCAAAGTTCCTAAAGTCAAACCAGGGACATGCAGTTCATGGTCAGATGCCAACCACAGACTGGTGCCAAGAAATGATAAATTATGAGCGGGGAAACTGTGAAATATCAGAGTAACGACAGTCAGGCCAGGCCATGTGGTTGACACATTATGTGAACATGCTGAATGCAGTGTAAACCCTGATTTCACTTAGTGGATGCAAACAAAAGAGCACATTTTAAATGAATGTTTCAGCTCCATAACTATAAATTCAGAGCAGATGAAGCTTTTTTCTTTATATAATAAATTCACTCCACATTTCAAAATCCAAAGACAATGGGAACACCCATTTATAGAATCAATCATCTGAAGCTGTTGAGGCCTGTCAAAATGGTATCAAGTTGCCTTTTAACTGAACAATGAAAAACAAGCTCATTAAATATATGAACTGTATGTTAATTAGTCAGTATTGCTTACTGGCTGTGCAGTGACTGCAAACAATTTGAGGTTAAACATGTTGAACGTGTGATGTATTGTACCATGACTCCGAGGTTCAAAACACAGCAACATTCCACCAGCGCAACATTTCAGAAAACACAAAGACAAACAGCTTGAAAGAAGCAGGACTGACAAAAAAAACGGTGACTTGTTGAAGAGAAGCCGCTCATGTTCATCAGCCCTGCTTCCTTTAAACGACTCGTCAGGGTGGCAGCATTTTAATGAGCTGATATGTTACCAAAAATTATTTCATGTTAACGTCCTTCACTGAAATACTTTCTCTTTTATCATTCTGTTTTGTGTTTTGCACTTCAGGGCCGCCGTAGTAATGACTGACTGGAGGAAACATCAAGCTGAGTGTGGTGCAGGTGAAAGAATGTACGCCCACAGTGAGCAGAGGAGAAACTTTACCTCTAAAGCCTTTCACAAGAGCACAGCAACCCCTCTGCTTCCACCAAGACCATGGTCCTATGGTGACAGAGGCTCGGAGCCTTTGGGCCTCCAAGGTGCCTCCACGCTGTCACTGTAACATCATTTCATGTTGTGTCATGCGGTTTAATTTTGTACTGCAGCATGGTATTATCTCTTGTTGTGTCTTTTCATTTGTGATGTGTTGTCTCATTTCAGTTTGTGTAGTTCCATTATGTCATGTCTTTTCCTGCCAAGTCTGGCCATTTGATTCTCTTGTCAGTGTACTTTGTATTATGTCATTTTATTTAATTAGTTGTTATCATGTCTTGTCACTACATTAAGTGTAGTATCAGTTTATGTTAGGGTTACATCGTGGCATTGGATTTTGTGTGATGCCTCCAGTCTTGTACTGTAATTGCAAAGACACCATTCTTGGTTGTAGTGGTGAATATACTTTATTACATAGGGAACAAATGACACGATGAATCATATAACTATTATTATTCTTGTCACAGTGCAGGGGTTTTGCTGTCCCTTCCAGCAGAGGCCTAACTTTGGGAGGGTGACAGACAGCGCAAAACCACAGAGCCGAGGAGGAGGCAGGAGGCTGATACTGCTGAGCGAGGTCAAGGGAAGGCTGGAGATCAGAGCAAGAGCAGCGTCGAGGGTCAGGACTGGGAGCAGCGCTGAGGTTACCCCAGAAGACAAAGTCCCCACTGAGCGCGTTCACAGAGGGCCACTCAGTGAGACAGCAGGTGAATGAATCACATATGTTCACGGTCATAGCCATGTATCCTTCTGTTACATGGGCACTATGGGCCTTTGGTTCAAAATTCAAAAACTCTGCTCTTTTATCAAATATAAGAATTGATTGAATTGAGCAATGTGTATTTGTATTTTTGGAGGTTTAATGTACTGAGTTGCCTGAAACATTCCCTTTCCTGGTAATAATGTTTTCATCTTATACTGGACATGCCTTCACCTGCTCGCTCATCATGGAAAACAAACAAGACTATTGTTATCACTACTTAGATAAATAAATTAGGACCCCATCCAAATCTGAAAATGTTTTTCTCTCCAATTCTGCCATCCAGCCACCATTTCACAGCCAAAATAGAGCTTTTTCAAAACCTCACATTTTTTTCTTTGATTGTGTTACAACTCATCTTGTATAGGAGAAAGGGAAGCAACGCAAACAACTGATAGGGCCTGCAGGTGCTTCTGAAAAAAACAACAACAAATAGGACTGCTATCAAAGAAGAAACACTCCAGAGGTTTATGTAAACCTACCTGGATTTGAGCAGAGCAAAGCAAAAGCCTCCTCTAACTCCCCAATGCTTAGCTCTCTAAACAAAAGAACAACACTCTGCTCTGAGTGGTTTTAACCAGGTGTACTCTAGGTGTGTGTGTGTGTGTGTGTGTGCAGGATTTATGATATTCATTATATACTGATATATAGCAATTAATATAAGCTCCATCAATCCCTTAACTTGCATTTCTCTCTCCATGTCAGACAACATTACTCAATACAACCAAGTCGCTCTTTCATGTTTTAGTTGCCTAACAACAGAAATAAAAACTGTGTGCAAATGAGAACAATTAAATCATGGGTTCAGCTCTATTAAAACACAGCTAAGGTGATGACAGAACCCAGGAGAGGCCGAAGAGTGATTTAACCTGCTGAGATGCAGCAGAGGAGTCGGTGCCATGTGTCTGCTGATTGATATTATGGTATTCCAGTTTGGCTGGACACTGTTAGGAAACCAACCTGAAGACGTCTGCTCAGCTTGGATGTAATTTCAGTTAGTTGAGCTGTGGTAGAGTGAGTACAAGGAACAAATGCTGTCGTTGTGTCCGAACACTGTCCTCCAGAGTTTAAGATGGTGGAAGTGTCAGCCTCCTTGTTCCTCACTCGACTGGAGTGAGGAATAACCGTATAAGAGGCTCGGGGATGTACCCAGCGTTGGAATTGAGAATGATGCATTTGACACTTTCTTCTGAAAATGAGGTCCTACTGTGCTTTTCAACAGGGACGTTAGGCAGAATAACCAAAGATTTGCCACTGATGTTGTGCAGTGTCCACAGAAGTCCACTCTTATCAGCATGTAAACCCATTGAAAACTTCATGACATCATGTGAAACTATACATCTCTCAAGTGAAACCATGGATACCAAAATGAATCAATTCTTGCAAAATTTGTTCAAAATTTCTGCTTAGACTTTGTTCATATTAAGACAAGCAGTTTATTCATGTCAATGGCTACAGTTATAATCAATCAAAACAAAACCAGATTGGATTTTTGATAAAAGGACAATGCCTGTTAATAATATGCACTCTTACTTTTCATACGAAAGCTGTTTACTCACAATGCTAACCACTTGAAAAGCCTTATTATCCACAGACACACACACACAGAAACACACTGTTCATCTGCCTGCAAACTCCCATAATCATATCCAGACTTGTCTATATCAGTGTCTTTAGCTTCATGCAGGAACAGCTGTGCTTATTTGTGGTGACTCAAATAAATAATCCAGTTTTATTACCAAATGACATGAAAGTTTCTCTGTTTTGCATTCTTTCTGTATTATTTGGATTGAGGGCCGAGTGTGTTTTTGCTACGATTTGGGTAATTGGGTTTTGGATATCCTCTAGTGATAAGCACACACAAGTTGTTCAGATGTAGTTATGCTCCATCTATCACCCAGTCCCAGATCGTAGGGTTTGGATTGTTGGCAAGCTGTAAATGACATCGGCAACATGGATGTGACTGAATTCAAAGCTGCATCTCTGACCGTGACTGACTCTTCTCCTCCCAGAAACTCCCACACACCCCTGTGGCAATGAGTGGCAGGCTCATCAGACACAGCCTGGCGCCCCTAAGGTTCCAGTACTCCATCTGTATCTGCCTTCATCACTCTATGAGGATGAGGAACAGGATGCTGAGGCAGAGGAGATGAGGTATGACTTTAATGATGGTGTTTGGGGCGTCGAGGCTGTTGCGAGTCGTAGGAGAGCAGCCACCTGCAGCCACTGTCATGGACTATTCTCAGCTAATATGTTTCACGTCACAGCTGCAGTTTTCACCCTGCTTTCCAGAAAATGGAGCACAGCTCCACAGCAGGTCTCAGAGGTGATGTCAGTGGGAGGGTGGGGACACAGAGACTGTTTTCCCAAGCAACTAGAGCAACTGCAATGAATGTAAAGCCATGTCCACTGGATCTAAATGGACCTGATGGAGTCGTTCTATGCAATAGAGTGACAATAGAAGAAATGGCTCTGGTTCCTCACCAGGGGAGTTTAAATGTGTTGAGTAAATTCTTTAGAAATCTGCCAGATATAAAATAAGTTGTGCACAAATGGAAAGTCAGAGCAGATAAGAGGGGGGTCAGGAGTCGCCATGATCATTTGGAATCATCCTCTGAGGACCTCCTTCTACTGTATATCCAGGATAAGTTAAAAGAGTGTCCAGTAATCAAGATACTGAATTTAAAAGCCCATCCATCAGCCTTTCCACTTTCACTGTCATTTTGAGTCATAGTAAGAAAACCACACAGCCATAAATAACATGAACACTGGCTCGGTTTTGTTCAAGTGTCCCATGTTTGACAGTGCGTCAGTGAGTCAGCATGAAGTGTACCAGCACCCTGAACCCAAATGGACTTCAGCCATTCATTTTTATTTACATGTCATTTTTCCAAGTTAAAATACCAAAACTTCACTGATTCCAATATTACAGACTGACCACAATTCTTTTTTTTACCTTTGTCGTGCCAAGTATATGTTCAGCCTGCTCATTTGAAATGATTTTAGTTAGTACCCTCATGCAATAACTGAAAATGGATAAAGGAGCCAGTCCATCCTATGCTACACATCTATGGGCTGAACACAGTAGTTATGAGTAACCTTGTGTTAAAAATGTAATTCAAAGCTAAACAATATTTTGAGTGATGTCAGTGTCATCAGTGTGTGTCCAGTTAAGAGATGTGTCTATCACATATTGGGCCTGTCATAGTACAGTACAAAAAGTGGAAGCCAGCTGTGAAAAGATGGGATGGGTACAGGAACCTGACCACTACATCTCTGTATGTTATATTTCATTCCAGGCCTTCAGCAGAAAGGACTGATGTCCCACCAAGCACAGGAGGCTCTCCAGAGTTTCCACAGGACAGCGACCTGCCTGTGGACTCCAGAGAGCAGCTGAACACAGCAGTACACAGCGCACCACAGACCCCTTCTGATGACATCACACTGGAGGACTGAGCACAGCCGAGGTGTGACGTACAGAGGACAGCAGAGCTCAGAGCCTCCACACAGACAGGATGGAAAGGAGCGATGAGCAAACAGACCTGTGCTGGTGCAATGAGATGCTGAAGAGTCAGCCCCTGGGCAGCTTCAGAAAACAAAAGGGTCATGAAAGGTGACGTGCTAGTTCAACATAAATTACATTTAGTGGAACAAGGGGGCTTGTTTTAAAATACAACTCGAAAGGAGGACACCTGCAGAAACTGCCACACAGGAGAAGCACCAAAGAAAATATTACAAAACTATTAGACCAAAACCTAGAAGGAAAAAAGACTTAAAGACATGCATTTATTTAAAGCACACTCCAGTATTTAAGCCTGAATCAGGGCAGTAGCCACCACAGATGACCCAGAGGTCACATCCTCAGCATATGGAGCAACAAATCCTCCTAACTAAACAACTAAATACTGTAGGTGAAAGAAAAGAATCACAGATTACATCATAAAGAATTAACAACACCAGAATTAGCAATTTATGTAACTTTTTAACACTTCCAGTCACTTACTAAGAGGTTTGTGTGAAAATAAGATAACTATAACATACTATAACTGTACATCCTCTGGTCATTTGTGACCAAGCCAGGCAAAACAATGCTTCCCATAAAAATGACTTAAAATACTGGCTACTGCCCTGGAATGGTTGTTCATTTGTGACAAGTAGGGACAATGAAGAAAGTAGAGTTTGTAATCAGGGCCTTCACTCGGTGGAGATGTGAACTTCTGGTTTATTTATTGTGCTTACACTTAATCTCTTTGGTCTACTCGATACGTACCGTGTACAGTAGGTTTTTGTATCACCAGGTAATAATGGCTGTCAATGTAAGGAAGAAATAAACTCAGTCACCAAGTTCCATTATCAGCAAATATTGGTCTAATCAAAAGGTCGCCTTGCAGAACTGTATCACTTTTGGTGATTATATTTTTTGCATAATGTTTAGAAAACACTTTAAATATGTTCAAATGTATTAAATATACAAACATGTTGCTTTTATGAAAACAACCAAAGCAAAACACATTTATCATTTAACTTCATACAATGCTGTGTAAAGGTTCCAAGAGTGCAAGCCACAGGTCATGTTTACAAATTTAACAACAAAAACCAGGCTGAGTCTTGCCCCCCCGTGGGACGTGGCACCTTCAGTTCCATGTTGAGATGTCTTGCAGTGCTCCAGAGGTGTGCAGCTGCTTTCCATTCAGTGTGTCATGTCTGTGCAGTGTCTTCCTGTTGGCCTGCGCTCAGTACAGAGGTAGCAGATCATACACCACACGCTGTGCTCCGGAGAGATCTGGACTCCACTGTTGCTCCGAAATGGCCTCAGTGCACAGGAGCCTGGAGGAGAAATGGACGACGGGGGCTGAGAGTCTGGCTATGTAGCCATGAACAGGTCTAAATCAATCACTGGACGTTTGAAGCATTCGCAGTAATGACAACTTAATAAGGTCCCTCTGTTCCCTTCCCGGATCCATAGAAAGCTGTAATCCAGCTAGGTATGGTAGTCACAGTCTGTGTTCCACCGCCACATACCCCCACCCCAGTGTAAGAAGGGCATTCATTCTGAAATTCAAATTTTCATTTCATCACATTTATGTTTTTTTGTTTTATCCATCTTTTTTTTATTTTCATGGAGAGGATGGGCCATACATGGCACGTACCACATCATATCCTAACAGAGAGAAAGTAAATGACTAGTTTAGGCCTTATGGAGAATCTTTATCACTGTTCTGCCAAGAGTTACATGAGATCGATGCCACTCTCCTGTCTGCGTGGAAATGTGAAGACTGGACATGGGTACAGAGGTCGTTTTTCACATACAAGCTGTGTTAACAGCTAAACTAATTTTTGACATTGGCTGTGGATGTCTGTGGTTGCCAGAAGACAAATATGAATGATTTTGGTGACCCCAGGACGTTTCCTCTCATGTCACATGATCAATAGTTCCCATTGAACACACTGTTTCATCTAAATCTAATGGACAGATGGATCTTTGTTGATTATCCGGTATGCCAAATGTTTTACATTGCACATTCAAGCTTTTCAGAACAAAAACCCTTCAGTTTCATGATGCCATGATCTGCACTGCAAAGTCACCCTGTAGACAACATTACATGTTTAGCTCCTAACTGGTAAGGCTTTAAAAACAAACCTTTAGTCTATGCAACACTTTCTTATTTCCTTCCTTTTGATACTTTACTTCCTTATATCTAGGTTAAACATAATGCAACGCATTACCAAGGATGAAGTATGCAGCAGCACTGACAGACAGAACAATGAGGAAGATTGTGCCTAAACCCAACTCTTCCACAGCGCAGGCATTTGGACAAGCACAGGGGCTCTCCACCCAGATCTGCAAAGGCTCCTCAGACCTGAGCTTCTGGTCCCAGATGAAAGAGGTGGACTGATTTGGATTACAGTGGTAATGCACTACTGTCAGCGGCTGCTCCTTATGATCTGAGACAGGAGAAGAAGAAGGAGTTCATAACAAAGCAGTGTCATAAAATACATGCAGTGTGTGTGCTTTCAGCTCACCAAAGTATGAGACAGACAGCATCTCCAGGGTGTCATTGTAGTGGAATTCATTCCCCTCATGTCTTCCATAGCTGGTACAGTGGTTAACATGTCTGCTGAGACCTGGATACCTATTAACATAAACAAAATATCACACGTAATATGTGCAAAGGATTCTTTGGATTTTTAGTCCCCTGACAGATGTGTAAAACACATAGATGGGACATTTCTCCTCAAAATACCAGGGACCAAACACTTCTGAGGCCCTAAGGAAAATTACAACCGCTTTCTCACACATTTTCCAGAAAATTCCTAAACTGCTTTAAAATCAACTTTGTATTGTGCAAAAGGTGCAGCACAATTACAGTTAATAAATCAGGAAATCTGTGTTACAACTTGAACACTGAACAGAATTTTCTTTATTGTGGACAGTGCAGATATTGTACAAAGGGTTTATGGCAACAGCACAAAGCAGCATTATCACTTGTTGTATCTGGGGGCCCCTGGTGGCTCCTCAGCTGCTGCAATAGTCTAAGAGTTGTGCACAGAAGGCTGCAGTAAAAAGACACATTTAAGAAAGGCATTTTGTTTGTCTTGAACTGATGATCTAATCCAAAGTCAGTGGTGCTTAAATACAGTTTGATACTCCAGTATTCCATTTTATACTAGTTTATACTTCTCTAGGTTTTAAATACAAAACCTTCACTTGTAATGGAGTATTTTAACAGTGGCACTGATACTTTTACTTAAGTATCTGAACACATCGACCACCGTTCAAAACCAGAGGTCTGGATACAAGTCTCGTGAATCTGATCACTTCAAACAACTCTTATAGCAATAACTAACATCAATGATCAAGCAAGGATTTTAAAATGTAGGCTTTCTGCGTTTGCTTTCAGCTGGATTTAAGCCTTGTGACTAAGAAAACAAATTCCCTCACCCTAACCCAAAGAGGAAGGATCTTGACCACAGACAGAGCAGGAAACCTGGTAGGAGGTCAAACACAATATATTTGTTAAGACATGTCAGACTGGAGCCAGTGGCCACTGAGCGCTCTGAATCTACCTAGACACAATCAAAAGTAAGGTTGGATGCATGCAGCCAACAAAACCTGCAACATGCAGAAAATGGTCTAAATGTATAAATACAAACATTGTTTACACTTACCAGGCTGTTAAAAGATATGTCTGCTGATGGTCTAGAAGTACTGTACTGTTTACATTCTCAGTTTGCATATGCATAACTGCACATTGACTGCTGACTGCTGCACATGCTGCTCCCATGCAGCATACATTCTCTATTATATTCTTATATATTTTTATTATACTGCTGCATTTGCTGCTTAAAGTGCCTTAGATTTTGTGTTACTTATTCATCTACTTTATATTTCATTTGTATTTTGTGGCATTCATGTGGACGGCAAAGTCAGAATTTCATTGTACAGGGAAACATGTTTCCTAACTGTGCATATGACAAATAAACACTTTGACCTTTGACCTTGAAGTGTTCTTAATGTTGTCAAATGCCATGAAAACACCACAACCTTCAATGACTGTTTTAACCCGATAAACAGTACCAGTGCTATATGTGTGCTGAAAACAGCTCACACTAAATGCACCGTTTTTGATATTGTAGTGACATTTCCTAAAAACTAGTGACCAGGTTTAAGAAAAGACTGAGCATTATTTTAGAAATCCAACATTTATGAGCTCCTTTTAAATATCTAGCACTTCAGTAGACCCACTGGGCTTAAGTCGAGGGTACCGAGGCAAATGAACACACTGCTTTGCTTTGTATAATAGGATTTCTTTACAAAAACAAAAGTAGATAACATCACCAGCATTATTCTTTAACTAGCAAGCAAGCAGTTTATTAAAAGTTTGGTTTAAAACATCATTTAGTGAGAAATGAGTGTCAGTATTTAGCTGTGACATTGCAAAAGTCTCATGTGTTAAAACTGTGCAGTAAGTAAACCTGTGCGAAATAATTTTCAGGATAATCATAGAGAGAAGTGGAAGGATCCAAGTCAGTTCCCGACAGGGGGAAAGAAAGAAGTGCAAATGGGGGGAGAGGGTGTGTCTGTTCTGAAACTATCATTTGGTGAGAAATGAGCGTCAGTATTTAGCTGTGACATTGTAAAAGTCTCATGTGTTCAAACACACTGTGCAGTAAGTGAACCTGTGCGAAATAATTTTCAGGATAATCATAGAGAGAAGTGGAAGGATCCAAGTCAGTTCCCGACAGGGGGAAAGAAAGAAGTGCAAATGGGGGGAGAGGGTGTGTCTGTTCTGAAATGTGTGTAATACTACCATACCATGTTTACTATGCACTTTATATTATGTAGTGATTGTTCTTATCATACTATATTTATATTTTCCTATTGCACAATAAGCCAGTAATGTATGTGAAGGCTGTGTATGCAAGGTGGAGACAGCTATAAACCACAAGTACTTTCATTGTGTTTATTTTTACACAATAATTCATCAAATCAAGTATCCAACTAACTGTGCAGTGACAACTCAGTATTACTGTGTAAATCTCAGCAATGAGTCTCGTCTCTTGTACCTGACAACGAGGCACGCAGCGACATTGTTACAGTCCATTCCTGCGAGGTCCTCTGGCTGTGAGAAAGGCTGGCAAGGACTGAAGGACAAGAGGATCTCAGCATTGACTGACATGTTTTCTGCTGATAGAGGCTTCAGATACCCCAGGAAACCATTTGCATCCCCCATAGCTTTCAGGTTTATCACGCCACTTCCATCCTTCATGATGCATTTGCAGCTGTTGATTTTGAAGCAGCCTGACTTCTTAGCAGAGCTCAGACGAGGCACGAGAGGTGACGAAAACATGCTAAAACAAACTAACAGTGTGAGGAAGACAGGTAGAAGGCTCATGATGACAATGTGCACCAGTGCAGAAGATGGTGGCAAGCGGTCTGTTGTCGTCTGGTAACTGAAGAGCATCTGACAGCATAGTGAGAGCTGGAAAGTAATTAGAATAAAGGTGATTCCCATTCCAGGCATTCCTAAGGCCTTCAGATCAGTCTTTCCAAATGCAGTAACACACAGGAGTGCCTGGTGTCCCCAGCAGTTCTGTTTATGGAAAGACATGCAGCAATTAAGTCTGCTAATCCACTTCCATTATAATGGGATGGAGGCAAATTCTCTGAAGCATGTGCAAACTTGGGCAAATAAAACTAAATTAATCTATGCAGGACTACACACCAATAAGGTCAATTGGGAATTTTGACTGTGGTTCCTCTGAAATGATTCTGTTCTAAACACTTCCCCTGGCAAATGTCGCTTGTTTAGTGGAAATATTAAAATACTTTAACTGGGTTCTGGTGATAAACAGTATCAAAAGCTCTAAAGGACAACGGTTACACTGATTTATACACGGGTCTGAAAAGTCTCTGTCCAGATGGGCTGACCAAGGAATATCAACCACCGTGAGAGGTCACCACAGAACATTTTCTGAAAGGGAATCTGTACGTTCTGCAGGTCAGACTCGTTCATCTGGGGAAACCTTCATATAAATAAGAACATTCCATTATTGATCATATTTGGGCTGGAGTCAAATTCCTTGTATTTTTGATAATACTTGGCAATAAAGTTTATGGTTATTTCATTAGAAATGATGGAGCAAAGTTTAAGCACAATGTTTGTCAAGGAAATAAACAATTCTTGTCTTTTACAGCAATTTTATTTTGTCAATAGAAAAAGCCTCTAAGCTTTGACTGCAAATTTGCGGATGGAGTAGAGGAGATCTTTCCTCTGCTGTTTCTTGGTCCGCAGACTCTCTTCATGCTTGTTGAGCCGCCGGCGCAGAGCTCTGGTCTTCTTGGGTCTCAGATCCAGGGGCTTGTATTTCTTACCCTGAAAGGAACAGAATCAACTTTCAATTGATCAGAAAACACTAACGCATAAGAGTGAAAACTCAAGTGACAGGGAAAAATTAATGTACAACCTGTCTAGGTCTAGAAAGATTGGATGCTTGTCTGAAACCAACTTTTTTTTTTTTACTTGAGGCATTTTAAAACAATGAGTATTTTCATGTAGTGTCTTCCCATGTAGTGAACACAAACCAGGACTTTACAATGTTATTTCAACAATCTGCTGTCAATCTATTTAATGCTGAAGAACACTGCTGTTTTTAAAGGTGCCAGCTCAGAACATGCACCGCATCAGGAACATCCCACTGTCATGTTCAGTACATTTACACTGACTTGCAATGTTCCAATGTAAGATCATTAACTGAAGAGGGACCCTGCAGCACTTTGCGCTTTGATCTGTAAGGTCTGAGCAGGTTCTTGCTTTTTTGTGTACAGCTGTGTCGCTTAAACAACTTATCTGTTTTGCAAATCATGACAAATTTTAAAACTTTAGAACATCCACATCTTCCATTTTGGCATAACCAATAGTTACGTATTCAAATTTTACTGTGTGGCCATTTAGTGATTTTGTTGTCTGTTTAAGCCACCCATGCATAGAAGAGCATTTTCACCTTTGGAAAACTGCATGTATTATGGTCACAAAAATATATGCCTGGATCATTAAGAAGCTACTGTTGCCTCATTTGAAGGTACATCATTAATTGGGCCTTTTGTCAACATTGTGGTAAACAATTTAACTGGTGTCAACAACTCTATTCAAATAATGTCTTAAGTAGAATTACTGCAGTCTGTGTAAAAAGTCAGTGGATGTGAGGAACCAGGTTCAGGTCATCTCAAGTCTCAGTATTTTTGGTAAGCAGCTACGGATGCATCATCAAAACAAATATCAATTTAGACCAGAGAACCAAAGAGGAAATGCTTAAGTTCCATGTAGGCATGTCCTGAACGAGCAACTGTGGTAGTAACCTCCAGGTCTGCTGGTGGTGCTCACCTTGTAGAACTTCCTCAGGTTCTCCTTCTGTGTCTGGTTGATTACAGTCAGGACTCTGGCGATGGACTTGCGGACAACACGGCTGTGAAGAACAGCAAAGAAAAACTACTTTTACAACTTGGGTTTTGTTAAAATAGCAAATTAGCCTCAGCAAATATAAATGTACACATCTCCAGTTAAATCAATATGAAAACAAAAGTGCCAACAACTGTCACACAGTGAGTTAATTGATATACAAATGTTAAACTCCCCAATGACACAAATGTGCTTCTTCCTTTTGGGGTGGTGGCAACGTTTGGGGACCCCCAACTTATTATAGCGACAATGTTGCAGTAAACCTAACACTAGTAACCTACAGTTCTGAATACATTAGATAAACATTTATGTCTTATTTGACCTATTGTGATCACAGTAGTTCAGTATACGGGCAAAAACCAAATGACTGATGATTCCCCCAGCGTCCTGGCTTCCGCAACACCACTGAACCACATTATAATTCAGAAGACACCGAAGTCAGGATCCGTATATATAATTACTTTTATCTATCTATCCATCTAACTAATGTACATACATCTTTGATAGCTTGGAAGCAGCTCCACCGGTAACCTTGGCCACACGGAGCTGGGACAGTTCATTTTTCAGGTCGTCCAGCTGCTTGAGCAGCTCCTCCTTCTTCTTGCCCCGCAGATCTCTTGCCTTGATCTTGGCCTGGACCATAACAAATAAAACATTCGTTAGTGACAGCAGTACATCCGTCTCCAACATCGGCACAAGAAACCTCAGCTCGGCGAGAGCAATTCTTCCCGACACGAGCCTGACATGCTAACACAGTTCGCTGTTAGCAGACCGAGCTAACCCTTTACATTGACGTTATTCTTCAGCATAACATGGCAGCTATTTCAAGTTAGCAGACTGGCATTTACAAATACATTGGATATTACGTATTTTTTGTTAACATTATGCAGCAATTTTAGCAAGCTGTCATATTTTTATTAGCCTACTGTTAGCAACTCAGAATAGCTCCGTCGGTCGGTATTAGCGTCCCATAATGTAACATTTTATTCAATTCCGATAGCGTTCTACTTATAAACACATGCATGAACAACGACCTCATAACCTTATGAGAACCTATAATACATATTTTACGAGGTGTATGTGTGAAATACGCGTAAATATAAGCGCAATTAAAGTATGCCTAACATTCCCTCACCATGTTCTTCTCGCTGCCCTGTCGAAAAGGCCGGACGCACCGCGTGCACAAAAAAAGAGCTTCCGGAGAACTTCTTCTTCGTTAGTTTAGATTTGACAATGATAAAATGCAAACAGTGCCTCTGGCGGCCGGAGCGGCGGTAACTAAACCACGCTGCAGGACTCATGGGAGAACAAAATGAATATATTCTAATTTATGAGGAAATTGGGTAGTTGATAGCGGTAAACTACAAATAACAGAACATAATTTATAGCATGGGAAAATGTAGCCAGTAAGTCTATTCTACAGCTACATTAGGCCTGTGTAGTGGATGTTTTCACTCAAGTATATAAAGAAAGACATTGGAAAATGTAAAAGATAATAATGGAATTTCTCACCAAATATGCAGGCTCTGAAGCCAGAAGGCAAGATTTTCTTATTTCAGATTTATTATTAATAAATGTGAAAAAAGGAAACCTTTGTTGTGGCAGCAATTATTAAACCAAAAAAAGTAGTGACTGGACAGTTGTGTTTCAGGGTTTAATGCAGCAGAACTGATCAGGCTAAAAAGTGCATTCACCATTTCTTGATTCTCATGGAGACAGTATATTACCCAGAAGAGTCCAAGTGACTACATCAATCCGGTACCTCTCATTAGTACACCCAATGATGGCAATTCAGCATTCAAAGATGTACTTCTACATCCCAGAATACAAAGTGAAATAAACAGATAAACCTTCAAATGCCAGAAGAACAACTATTACCAACAGTTTTGTAATTCATAACCTTCTGTAGATAGCACACTGTTGTGTTTCTGCTTCACAGGGTGTGCATATTACTGGAATAAATACAAATGCAGAATAATCTGGCCTTTAGAAAAAAAGTACATTATAGTAGCAGTTCAACAATTTAGTTTACAGCAAGCATGCAGATTCCCTGGGCTTCCCACTGATGTAAAAATTCAACCTCATCATGTTGTGAATGACATTACACTGGGACCAAAGATACTGACAGACAGTGACTGATTGAAAAGCATTCTATGGATTCTGGTTTATGATGATGATAAATACTGCAAAACTGGTCACACCAAACCATTTATATCCATTGATTTATAAAGTTCTGAATGCATACAGTATTTACATGTTTCTATATATAAATAGACATGGAATGTTATTTCATTCATTAGCAAAGGCAGGTAAAGGTAGAGCAGGTCCTCCAGTCATCATTTACATAGCATTCACTTACTTTCACCACATCATTAGTATTATCCAAATGGTTAAAGAGCCCCTGCCATGCTTTTTGTGGTCTTCTGACTTATCTACAATGTTACAACAGTAAATTATCATCTTAAATGTGACCTAAAGCTAAAAAGATGTGGTTCTAAATGGTATGTTCTAGTAATTCTATGCAGAAGCAACTTGGCCTATACAAGTCTCATGAACTCTTGCTCACAAGAGTTTTTTTTTTTAAACAAAATTAAGTGTTCTCCAGGCAATTATATGTTCATGTGAGCTTGCCTGACATCCACAGGTGCCACTGAAAAAGCAGAATTTTTTAACTGCATGTGGTTTGTGGATATGCATATTTTACCTGCTGCTGCTGCACTGTGGCAGAGGATGTGGAGAAAAATACAGGGTCTGAGGTTACTTTAGGTCGAGGAATGTTCCTGTTACAGGGACTCGCTGTTTTACCTGACCATCAATGCTACGCTACCTAGGACTGTATGTGGTCGTGTGGGGGAAGACGTAGTGACCACTGGTTGGATTTACCGACCTTGGAGCTACTTGAATGGGAGTGATGTTTCCACTACTTGGTGGAACTTAACGGTAAGTTGTAAAAAAAAAAAAAAACACGTTACATGTCTGTTAATGCCTTGTTTCTGTAACATTAGAGAGAATTGTTGTAAGGCTGGAGAAGTTACTATGTCTGCATTATGCCAGTTAAAATATGGGGTTTCTCACTTACCTGCGTTGTTTAGAGTGTTACACATCTCTTTTCATCAGTACATCAGAATCAGCTTTATTTGCCAGGTGTGTTGGACATGAGGAATTTGACTACCTCTTTTCATCTGTACATATACTGTTGTTTACTTTATGGGGGAAACATTCATATTAATTAATGCTGTTGCGGTTCGTTGTGCTGTTCACTTGCAACACAACACTGGCAGCAGGAGTTGTGCACATTCACGAACTCTCTTGTTTTTAGAAAGAGGGTCTCTGGTTTTATCATTTTGAAATAATTAGACTATTTGGAGTTATGAGGGGTGCCAAGATAATCTAGAGGTACCCAAGATTAAACATTAAATGGCTGGAAATGAGCAAAATGAGCATGACATGGGCACTTTAGTCATTCATACTGGTTTAAAAAGGACCTTGATTTACACAGACTGTATCAGACGTGAAAGAAAGTATGGAACCCTGAACTACTTTCAAGCAACAGAACTGTACAACCCGACCCCACATCAAGCTTACAGGTGGTTTAAGTTAGGGCCAGGGTTAGACTGTGGTGTGCCGATACAGGGGACATAGAAAAGATCTGAGTGCAAGGTCTCCTGGGAGGCTCAGCTCGAAGTAAAAGCAGTCCAATGGCCTAACAGTTTCGGTTTGATATGCATTAGCTATAAACCTTCAGTTCTGACTAAACCTCAGCTAGTTTTGGTTTATCACAAATTGGTATTGCAATATAGACATACCATTAGAAATTACTAGCCTATATTTTGCACACTTTGCGTTGTATATTTAATTTTTAATTAATAACATTTGCCCAGGAATCAACACTCAGTACCCCATAAATGAACTCTCTCATTTTCAGACACATTCATTGCCCTGCTGTGTCACTCCAAAGTATGGTCAGATGCATCATGCCTGTGAACCATTCACTGCTCATCACTTGGCTAACACCATCCCTACAGTGAAGCATGGTGGAGGAAGCATCATGCTGTGGGGATCGGGGGCTTTTCAGCAGCAGGGACAGGGAGACTGGTCAGAACTGAAGTGAGGGAAGGATGAATGCAGTCAAATACAGATAAGTTCTGGAATAAAACCTGCTTCAGAGTGCAGAGAGCTGACACTGGGGCAATGGTTCACCTTTCAGACAACGACCTGAAGCAAACAGCCAAGACAACAGTGGAGTGGCTTCAGGACAGGAAATAGGAATGGGACAGGCTATCACATCACTATGACAATGCCAAAATTATGCCATGGTTCTAACTATTGTGGGTTTAGAGCTTTTTATTTTATGTTTTTAACTTTCCTTATGGCCAAGACACTTCAGGGACCGACTGGCTGATTTGAACATGATCCAGGCTCTTGCCTTACAAGTGGATGAGGGGCAGTTGTCAATTACCTAATCAGTTAAATATGCTTTTATCAAAATGACATCAGGCAAAAAAGAAAATAGTTAATGAAATAGGTGTGTAAAATATGTTTAAGTTACAGTATTTAGCAGATGCTTTTGTCAAAAGCAACATAGAAAAACATCAGTTAACATAAGAATGATTGTTCATTTACTACTCGTCTTCTTTACTTTTATCTCAGTTTTGTTGCATTTGTTTACCCTTTTTACGCGTCCAGCCGCCCCGCCCCCCCGGTACAGTAGGCTAATCCTGTGTTTCATGTCACAACACAATGAACTGTGGAGAATTCCCTCAGGTAAAGTCTGCAGAAATGCCGACTTACAGAAAGTGAACATAAAATAAAGGTAAGTAAGTCCTCATGTACTTGACGATTTAACAGTGGGACAGCCCTGAGCCCTCACTGAGGCTCATTCCTGCCAAGTTAAAGACTAAGTGTGGACACTGGGATTGGGGATTACTCAAGAAGACTGAAAGCTGAAACTGATGCTATGGGGCTTCTACAAAGTACTGAAATAAAGCTCCAAATACTCACATGCAGTTAAAATTGTGGGACCTTACATACATAGGCATCTATCTTTCTAAACTCTGTCCAATCCATTCAAATTACCACAAGTAATCCAATCAAGTTGTAGACGCGTCTCAAGAAGATTAAAGCAAACACGATGCACCTGGCCACAGTCTGGGTGACAGCAAAATGACCGAATACTTTTATAAATGAGAGATTTCAGTTTGTGACTTTTGGAAAAAAGGCAAGTATTTCTAAACATTTTCACAACTCATTATGGGTTACTTACTATAGACAGAAAGGCAAAAATGACATTTTCCTCAATTTAAAATCAAACCTGCAACACAATGTGCAAAAAGTGATGATGTCTGAACACGATCGGAAACCACTGATTATCAGTGCATATGGCTGCTGACAGGTAACAAGAAACTGCAGCAAAGAAATGCCAAGCACATGTCCGGTAAGTTTAGTGTTTCACAGTTTAACAAAGTGGAAATGAAGTTTATTTTTCCACTATGACATGATGGCCTGTCATGTGTTTATGTTATACCAGTATCGTTTTTTTTTTTTCTGCCTGAAAAATGTGCCCTGAGCAGCCACAACATCAACTTTTCTGAACTGCTTAAACAGCAAAGCCCATTGTTGGGAATCACTCTTTTTGCAAAACCTTAAACAATATTCACCTGGTTAGACAGTTTTCAGGTCTGATTCAGTGTTTGTGCTAAACTACACACACACACATTCTCACTCACTAAATAACATTTTGCACTGGGATGCACTTGTGACAATGGTAATCACAGGTGACAGGTTAAACAGTTACAACACAGCTGTCATAGCCTACACACACACCTCAAAACTTCACATTTGTTGCTAATGATGTGACAGAAGCAATATGAGCTCATAGGCAAGGTGGGGTGAAGGTTGATACTACAAATGGATGGAAACAATCTGACAGAGGACGGTGTGTGTGTTTAAGAGGTGGTGTATGAGGAAGAAGACTAGACTAGGTTAGGGAGAGTGTTGCCTTGTGTGGATGAACCAGCACGAAGACGTGATGCTGAGGCCACATGAATCACTTGTTGACATTGATTTTGCAGTTACTGCACACTTAGAGTGTACCGTAATGTGCTTTTTATTTACATTTTGTCTTTGTCCATTTGCAGTACTGTATTTTACAAGTGCTGAATCCACAAATTCAATGCTGCATTTCTTTCAGTTCTTACTGTATGCAGTACAACACCTAAACTGTTAGTGTTGTGATTTGTTTTTTTGGAAAACATATGCATTCACTTTATTACTGTATAAACAATGTTTGTTTTTTTCTGCAGCTACATGCCCTGAACACTGTTTTCCATTTACTGATATAGTGTGTAACACATGCTCAGTAGTGTTTTTACTTTGACATGCTTTGTGTATGATCTGAAAGTGTTTGATTTGACCCTAATTCAAGAATAAGTGGTATACATAATGGATGGATGGTTGATTATATAAAAAGGTGTATTTAGTTGATTTGACAGCTTTGATTGGTGGTATGATGTGTCAGTCTACTTCTAGTCACTACGGCATAGACTCTGGTTGCAAAAAAGCAAGATGGCAGCCAGTGTATTCATGATATTTTAGCTTCACCTTTGCATATTGGCGGGAAATGGTGATGCTACGTCAATCATATATCCAGTCTATGGTGTGACCCCACAGAAGAGCTACTGTAGCACAAACTGCTGAAAAGCGTAATCTTGGTTCTGATAGAAAGGAGTCAGAACACACAATGCAAGGCTTTCGGTAATGTTCTGCTGGGAAATCTCAGGTCCTGCCATTCATGTCGATGTTACTTTGTCACATATCACCTATCTATACACTATTGCTGACCAAGTACATCTCTTCATGGCAACGGTATTCCCATGCGGCAGTGGCCACTTTCAGCCGGACAATGCACCCTGCCACACTGCCAAAATGGTTCAGGAATGGTTTGGATGAGGAACAAGACAGTTCAAGGGGTTGACTCCAAATTCCCCAGACCTCAATCTGATTGAGCATCTCTGAAATAGGCTAGAAGAACAAGTCTGACCCATGGAGGCCCCACCTCCCAACTTAAAGGATCTGCTGCTGACATCTTTGAGTCCAATAACAAAGGACACCTTCAGTGGTCTTGTGGGGTCCATGCCTTGACGGGCTGTTTTGGCAGCAGGAGGGGGACCTATACAAACTTGGGCAAGAGGTTTTAATGTTGTGGCTGACCAGTGTAAATCAGCTGGGCTGCAGTTTAGACCATTTTATAATCCTGATTTCAGTGAGAGATTGTGAAACAAAAATGTTTTCATGAAGAGAAATGAGAGCAATTACATTTCACTAAGGATACATTCCCTACTCTGTTGAGGATTTGAAACTGAAACCAGTTAAAAATCATGCTTGATCTTGAATCAACAGTCAAATGTAATGAAATGTCAGTAGTGTGATTTCTCATGAAAATTCTGGGTTTTGGTGATGCCATTGAACAATAATCCGAGCTAGATTTGTATGAGTGTTAAAGAGCCCATGACATGCTTTCCCTTGTATTCTGACTTATCTACAATGTTACAACAGTGAATTATCAACTTAGACGTGTGCATATGCTCTAGTACTCCTATGCAGAAGCAACTTGGTTAATAAAAGTCTTGCAAACTCTCGCTCGCAAGACTTTTTCTCCTAACAAAATAAAGTATTATGTGATAGTTTAAGGATTTCCCTGAATGTTCATTATATCCAGGCAGCTGCGTGTTAATGCGAGCTTGCCTGACATCTACCGGTGCCATTGTAAAAGCAGAATTTTAACGACCCATGATATTATTGTCAGAGCTACGCTACCTGTTGGAATTAATTTCACTACTTTGAGACTGTATGTGGTCGTGTGGGGGAAGACGCGGCAACCACCAGTTGGATTTACCGACCTTGGAGCTGCTTGAAAGGGAGTGATGTTTCCACTACTCGGTGGAACTTAAAGGTAAGCTGTTATTGCCTTGTTACTGTAACGATAAAGAGAATTGTAAGGCTGGAGAATTTAAATTTTGACCAATTAAAATATGGGGTTTCTCAATTACCCACTTTGTTTGGAGTGTTACACATCTCTTTTCATCGGTATATATAGCGTTGTTTACCTATCTATGGAGGAGAAATTCCTAATAATTAATGCCATTGCGGTTCATTGCGCTGTCCAGTTGCGACAACATTGGCAACAGGAGTTTTCATGAACTGTTCTTTCGTTTTTAGGAAGAGGCGTTTTGGTTTTATCGTTCTGAAATAATTACAAACTATTTGGAGTTATGATGGGTCCAAATGCAAAGCTAATCTAGAGGTACCTAAGATTAAACATTAAATGGATGGAGATGGGCATGCCATGAACACTTTAAAAGATCTTTGTAAATCTGAACCCAAAATGTGCTGCCTTTAGTTTAGAGGACTCCACATATACACAAAATGCGATTTAGACTATGTGGGTCCCGTGAACTATATCCATTTGACAGAAACCACTAATCAGGCCAAATAGGTTTCAGTATCCCATACAGGTCAGTAAAGTGACACCTTTATTACGGTGCCCTCGGTGATTTAGAATTAAATAATAACCCGCAATAAAATGCTGTACAGTCATCTGATGTGTATAGTATTCAAGCCTGTTGTATCTATTTGATGTTGGGCCTCATTTTCTAATATGCTAAATCACCTTTTGCTGTTTTCACTGAGTAGTCAACATCAGATGTGCGTCATATGTACGGAGAGAAAAATGAGACTTTTCACACTTTAAACTCAAGTGTGAACAATGTGTCTGTCCAGTTACTCTAACATTTTGTCAAAAGCCAATGTGCCTCTACCTTTGACAAAACAAAACACCCACAGAACAACAGTTCGTCCCACACAAAGCCAGAGAAAACTGTGGGAGGCTGTATAAAGCTAGAGTCCTGCTCAGTGGTGCGACCAACATAGGATAGACCTTTTCCTCCTAGAGGTTCTTAGGTTCCTTTCTCTCCATCATGTTACATCAGCAATCTCTGCTGCTCATCAGCTCCACTGAGTTGAAGTGCCTGAGATTGAAGGTCGGATGATACCCTTTGGAGAAGGCTTTGATCCAAACCAGGACATCTAGAACACAAAACATACCAGCCAGCAGGCTAGATTATATATACAAATAGTTATGATACTGTATCTATACTATGTATACTTTATATATAATGGTGACATTTCATTACAAAAATGTTTCTCCAAAAGCTGAAAAACAACCATTACTTTTTACAGAATCTGAAATATGTCACTCAGTGCAAAGGTGTGTTTCACTGATGCCTTTTTAAAAACAGCTGAGGTCTATGGCACAGATGGATAAAGTAATCCAGTTTGGAGACTGACAGCCATTAACCTTGAGTAGAGGCAATTCACTTTTGGTTTTAGTCTCTGTATGGGGATGGATAACAATACTATTAATATAGAAAATGACCGACCTTATCCTTTAATAACCTTTTAATTTTATTCTGACACACAGAGACATGTCAAACAGCAGCTGAAGACTGATTACCATGACGTACACACTAACCTTATACTCCAGAGTTTGCTTTAGCATGTCCTCTTCCTCATGAGTGAAGTTCAGCAGCACAGACACAGCTCGTATTAGCTGATACGCCTGACAGTATCAGCACACAATACAGATTCAGATTTCCAGCCTTTGCCTGTCTTTCAGTCATTATACACCAGGCAAATATGTAGTGCTAAAGACAACAGCTTTGGCAAGTATTGAATACAATGCATTTCCAAAATGAACACTTACCTCAGCTTCTCTGGATGACATAAACTTGAGAACGACATGTTTGAGGTACTCAAAGTTGATTTCTCGTGAGTCGCTGAGGTCTGAGGTGTTGGTCACAGTGGTGCTGGAGGTCGGGGGGCTCGGGGTGGATGCTGGTGGTGGGTCTTGACAAACCTTCTCTTGTTTTTCTGCTCGGCTTTCTGGTAACTTCTCCTTCCCTTCAACTTCTGGTTCAGATTTTAGTTTCTACAGAACACAGAAAAGGAAATGCAAATGTATACGTTATTCAGATTCATGGGAGAGCAAAACATTACAAATGCTTATTATAATGAATTTTAACAATAAAGGTTTTCTTCTGCAAATTAAGATTAATCTATACTTTGCCCTACAATACCCAATGAAGAATATTAATTATTAACATCAATGTTAGTCATCAAGGTAAATCGGATGTAGTCAGATATTACACAATTCAGTTTAGTGATCTACGTTCATATTCATGATTTGGTTTGTGGCTTCATTCACTTAAACTAAACACACCAACTAGCTTAATCAAAAAACATTCAGCATCAGTAACATTCATACAATGACCCCAGAACAAAATCTTACCAGCTCTTTCTGCAGTGTCCTTTTAAGTTCTGCCAGTCTCTGCTGCAGCTGCTTGATGGTCTAGAAGATAACAGTCACCATCACTGACTGTGTGTACTTGGACTTACAGTAGATTACCATCTTGCACTTGGCTCTCTCCAGTAAGCTGATGTCTTAAGTGTTGTGTAAATGAGAAACCTGGTTCCTGTAACTGAAGCAGGGAATAAGAGAAACTTGATTCCCCGAGGGAGATTCCTCCTGCACAACAGGAGGAATCTCCTCCCAACTTAAAGGATCTGCTGCTGACATCTTTGAGTCCAATAACAAAGGACACCTTCAGTGGTCTTGTGGGGTCTGCTTTTTTACAAGTGCTCATGTGCAGGACAGAAGACTGCAGACTGGGAATGTGCAGCAGTCCAGTGGCTGGATGAAAGGAGGCATCATTACATGAAACAACGCGGCTTTGCATTTAAAATAAGCCAGGCCAAAATCAAACTAAAACTCAGACTGACACAAACTGGCCTCTGCAAGTCTAAATAAGTCAGTTTCCACTGCTTTGAGTACTTGTTCAATTCAGACAATCTTTGCTGTGAAGAAGGGCTCTGTTCTGTCCACCTGCCTACCTTTCTCTAGCTGTGCTGTCAGTCTGCTCTGACACAGGCAAAGCAAAAAACAAACAAACAAAAAACAACCTCAAGAAGCGGTGTCCTTTTTCTCTGTATGGTAAAATCCATGGGCCCTGCTTCCAAAAAAAGTCTGGGTGCTGCATGTATGCACAGATTAGGTTAATACAGTGCATGTAAACTGTAGCCTCTTCCGTGTTTATTTTTTTATTTATTTACACCAAGCACTGACGTCTGGTATGGACATGTGCCTTCTGCAATGTGCAGGAAAGATGTTACGTGGTGCACATGCTGTGCTTTCAGTGAAGACATGTTAAGTTTAATGCTTCAGTCCAGTGGTATTACAAACCCCCAATTCCAATGAAGTTGGGACAGATAAGACAAGATAAGATAAACATTTACTACTCCCTGTGGGAAATTCCTGTGTCCCAGCAGCAACAAAGGAAAAGACAAGAACCAAACAACAACAAAAACACACACACCACAAAAACTATGAAAGACAAATCAACTAAAGAAAGAAAGAGTCACTTCCTGTTTAGGGGTCCCCACAGCGAATCGTCACACTGACGACTCGCATGTTTGACATTTGGCACGTGTTTTACGCCGGATGCAACCCTCACTTGAACCCGGGCCACAGTGGTGAGAGCGCTGTGCCTTAACCACTAGCCTATCGGGGACCTTTCTCTCCAAGAGTGAAATGAGAAAAATCAATATTATTCCAACGTCTGTGCACTAAAGTGGCTATAATCAATATTTCCATATTAACAGTGCATCACATGCCTACATGTGTATGAAAGGGGTCACAGGTCATGAAGATCCACAGAGAATCATCATACAAATCCACGGTTACCTTTAGTGCTACAGAGCATTTTAGCATTTGTCAACTTTTGGTTTTATGGCTAGCAACTTTATCATTTTGGTTCGGCCCCCTTGAACTTTGCGACCTTTTGCCACATTTCAGGCTTCAAACATAAAGATTTGCAAATACTCAACATTAAAAGGACCAGATCCATATCTGGACCAAAAAAATGGGTCAGGACATGCCTGTAAACGCATCAAATTACAGTTCACTGACTATCTTCACTGTACATATCTGCAGAAATATTAGCAAAATACAGATTTATTATGAAAGAGTATAAAGGTAGCTGACCCTGTTCTTGTCGCTGAGCTGTTGCTCCAACTCTCTGTTGACTTTCTGAATGTGATCCAGATCATCCACCGTGACACTGCCATTCTGATCCTCCTCACACACGTCAGGGCTGTGAAGTTGTTCTGTCAGGGTTTCCACCTCCACCTCCAAGTACGAGATCTGGACAACACAAACCAATCCACAATAATCATCTATTCATGATCAATTACTGGTATGTGCTGAAATTTCAGATACCTCTCTGGAGAGGTTTTAACAGATGATCAGTATTAAGACAAGAGAAAATGTAAACCTAAATGAAACTTAATACAAATGTAAAGTAATTACTGAACTGAAGTTGTGCAAAACAAAAAGATCAAATGAAATATCCAGGATATGAAAGCAATTGTTTCTAAGGCCAAATTATAGTCCACGCAACAGCAGATCATAATGTGGTACTAGAAGAGGAAGCTGAACTGGAACAAACGTCAGAGTGGGAAAACAGCATTTGTATTTCACTGTGAGGCTATGCAACAGGAAATGATGCAATATTTTTGCTGTGTATATATCAATATTTTCAGATTACTTCCCAAGAAGTATCAACTCAACCAAATCCCAGCAGACCAATATTTCTTTAAGAGTTCTGAACAATTGCAAATAGGTCTGTTACAAATGATGAGAGCTCTGAACATAAATACTGGTCTGCCCTCACAAGTTGACTGGCAGGCCTACAATCAACTGGAGTTGAGAGAATGGCTACTTGCAGACCTCTGCCCCATACCTTAGTGGTTACAGCGCAGCGCACCATATACCCCCATGGGGTTCGCGACATCAGTGCTCCGACTCTGACCACTGACAGCTCTGTTGCAAGGTCTCTCTCACCCTGTGCTTCCTGTCTGCCTCTCTGCAACCTACTTCATAAATAAAGGCTAAAAGCCTGAAGAAAAAAAAAAAACTTAAAAAAAAACATTAAAAATTCACTGAAATGTAATCACTGAGAGCAAAAACAACTTCCTCTCTAAACCTCACACACGAGTGTAACGTGATCCGTATGCCAGGCAATCTGTAAATACAATTTAAAGAACAGCACACAGAAAATAATTTTCACACATTTGTAAATCTTCATTTTATTTGCAGACTACCATTTGTAGTCATTGTGAGACTAATTGTTTTTATACATTTGTGTAACTCTTGAGTTTATCTGTAGGTTAGCAAATTGCCATGATCCCTGGAGACTTCCTGTTTTGTACTTCCTGTCTCTTACTAGCTCTCCTGTCCCAGCTTTATTATTGCCATTCATTAGCCCTTATCACTTCCGATGTCTCATCCCGCTGCCAGTTTATTGGTTCTCTCTGTTTGGTTTAGCTCATGTGGCTTTTATGGTCAGTACCTGATTAGTGGCCTTCCTGCCAGGATTACTCTACATATTATGACCTATTGTTGCCCTGAGGTCTACAACCTGTTAATTAGTTCCACCACTACAGCACAGATTTCCTTTTCCTTTGATATTTTACCGTCATGCACCAGTAGTTTTTGAATACTGAAGAGACTGCGATTTGATTCCACTATGTTGACGCCATGAAAGTTTATGTCCTGATTTTTTTTTTTTTTTTTGCTTACCGTTTACTTTAATTGCCTGGGTTAAGCTAAGTACATCTAGATTTGGTTCTCTTCTGCCTGGGGTTTCTGTGATTACTCATGTCTGCTACACTATGCCCACTATATGCTCCCCAGTTGAGAATTCTAGGTTTCTGTTTATATGCTTTCTTGGGTCTGTGCCAGTTTTTGCCACCAAAGTTACCAGCAAGAGTGCTGCTTATACCTGAATATTTCCGTTTCTACTATTATGTGAGCTTCCAGGATTTCACTGTGGACTTGCTGTTAGTTTTAGGATTCTCATGTATTGTTTCCATTTATGTCCCATCCTGAGAGCCACCTATCGCTGATTTGACATTTGGCACGTGTTTTACGCCGGATGCCCTTCCTGACGCAACCCTCACTTGAACCCGGGCCACAGTGGTGAGAGCGCTGTGCCTTAACCACTGGCCTATACCAGGAACAGCTCAACCAAGTAAAGAAATCCAAAAAAATAAAATATTACATGTACGTATATCTATGGTGGATTACATAACACTTAAGTTGACTATTTCACCATCCCCTTTAACTACACCTTATGTATCACTAATAGCTGTGGGGAGAAACGACCTATGAAAGCACTCCTTCCTGCACTGAGGATGTAACAGTCTTGAGCTTTGTAAAATGTAAATAAAAACAGAATACATTACAAACAAATCACATCACAAAGACGAGATAGTCTTTATGGTGTATTCAATTAAATATGGGTCAAAAAGGCTTTGCAAGTCAATGTATTCTGTTTTTATTTATGCTTTACACAGTGTCCCAGCTTCATTGGAATTGGGGTTTGTACAACATCAGTATGTCAGATATTTAAAACATTTACTGTAGGTAAATATAAGTATCAGAATTTGCAAATACTCAACATTAAAAGGACCAGATCCATATCTGGACCAAAAAAATGGGTCAGGACATGCCTGTAAACGCATCAAATTACAGTTCACTGACTATCTTCACTGTACATATCTGCAGAAATATTAGCAAAATACAGATTTATTATGAAAGAGTATAAAGGTAGCTGACCCTGTTCTTGTCGCTGAGCTGTTGCTCCAACTCTCTGTTGACTTTCTGAATGTGATCCAGATCATCCACCGTGACACTGCCATTCTGATCCTCCTCACACACGTCAGGGCTGTGAAGTTGTTCTGTCAGGGTTTCCACCTCCACCTCCAAGTACGAGATCTGGACTAAATTGTAAAATGGGGATATGTAAACTGGACCAGTTACACAGACAGGTATGGAGTAGTAGTTAGTATCTGACCTGTAATGAATCTGTAGTTCTGAGACAATGTTGTCCAGATGCCAGTTATTCTTGTATTCATATCAATAATTTAAACTAATAAACTTTATATTTTGGAACCAGGACCTGGTTTGGATCAAGAAGCTGCTGTAAACGCATCAAATTACAGTACACTGACTATCTTCACTGTACATATCTGCAGAAATATTAGCAAAATACAGATTTATTATGAAAGAGTATAAAGGTGGCTGACCCTGTTCTTGTCGCTGAGCTGTTGCTCCAACTCTCTGTTGACTTTCTGAATGTGATCCAGATCATCCACCGTGACACTGCCATTCTGATCCTCCTCACACACGTCAGGGCTGTGAAGTTGTTCTGTCAGGGTTTCCACCTCCACCTCCAAGTACGAGATCTGGACAACACAAACCAATCCACAATAATCATCTATTCATGATCAATTACTGGTATGTGCTGAAATTTCAGATACCTCTCTGGAGAGGTTTTAACAGATGATCAGTATTAAGACAAGAGAAAATGTAAACCTAAATGAAACTTAATACAAATGTAAAGTAATTACTGAACTGAAGTTGTGCAAAACAAAAAGATCAAATGAAATATCCAGGATATGAAAGCAATTGTTTCTAAGGCCAAATTATAGTCCAAGCAACAGCAGATCATAATGTGGTACTAGAAGAGGAAGCTGAACTGGAACAAACGTCAGAGTGGGAAAACAGCATTTGTATTTCACTGTGAGGCTATGCAACAGGAAATGATGCAATATTTTTGCTGTGTATATATCAATATTTTCAGATTACTTCCCAAGAAGTATCAACTCAACCAAATCCCAGCAGACCAATATTTCTTTAAGAGTTCTGAACAATTGCAAATAGGTCTGTTACAAATGATGAGAGCTCTGAACATAAATACTGGTCTGCCCTCACAAGTTGACCAGCAGGCCTACAATCAACTAGAGTTGAGAGAATGGCTACTTGCAGACCTCTGCCCCATACCTTAGTGGTTACAGCGCAGCGCACCATATACCCCCATGGGGTTCGCGACATCAGTGCTCCGACTCTGACCACTGACAGCTCTGTTGCAAGGTCTCTCTCACCCTGTGCTTCCTGTCTGCCTCTCTGCAACCTACTTCATAAATAAAGGCTAAAAGCCTGAAGAAAAAAAAAAAACTTAAAAAAAAACATTAAAAATTCACTGAAATGTAATCACTGAGAGCAAAAACAACTTCCTCTCTAAACCTCACACGAGTGTAACGTGATCCGTATGCCAGGCAATCTGTAAATACAATTTAAAGAACAGCACACAGAAAATAATTTTCACACATTTGTAAATCTTCATTTTATTTGCAGACTACCATTTGTAGTCATTGTGAGACTAATTGTTTTTATACATTTGTGTAACTCTTGAGTTTATCTGTAGGTTAGCAAATTGCCATGATCCCTGGAGACTTCCTGTTTTGTACTTCCTGTCTCTTACTAGCTCTCCTGTCCCAGCTTTATTATTGCCATTCATTAGCCCTTATCACTTCCGATGTCTCATCCCGCTGCCAGTTTATTGGTTCTCTCTGTTTGGTTTAGCTCATGTGGCTTTTATGGTCAGTACCTGATTAGTGGCCTTCCTGCCAGGATTACTCTACATATTATGACCTATTGTTGCCCTGAGGTCTACAACCTGTTAATTAGTTCCACCACTACAGCACAGATTTCCTTTTCCTTTGATATTTTACCGTCATGCACCAGTAGTTTTTGAATACTGAAGAGACTGCGATTTGATTCCACTATGTTGACGCCATGAAAGTTTATGTCCTGATTTTTTTTTTTTTTTTGCTTACCGTTTACTTTAATTGCCTGGGTTAAGCTAAGTACATCTAGATTTGGTTCTCTTCTGCCTGGGGTTTCTGTGATTACTCATGTCTGCTACACTATGCCCACTATATGCTCCCCAGTTGAGAATTCTAGGTTTCTGTTTATATGCTTTCTTGGGTCTGTGCCAGTTTTTGCCACCAAAGTTACCAGCAAGAGTGCTGCTTATACCTGAATATTTCCGTTTCTACTATTATGTGAGCTTCCAGGATTTCACTGTGGACTTGCTGTTAGTTTTAGGATTCTCATGTATTGTTTCCATTTATGTCCCATCCTGAGAGCCACCTATCGCTGATCGTTTTATGTTCTTTTGTTTATTAAAGTTCACTGATAAGTATCTCCTCTTGTCTGGTCTGCATTTGGTTTCTTGACCCAAACCCTGACACAAATATGCATTTGTGGCCTTCATGAGACACACAAATTGGTCGATAAACATTTGTAGTCTTAACTGTATTTGCAGATCGCCAAATATACATGCTTAAGTGCTGACCCGTGCCTGGCAGCTATCTAGCTGCTGTGTCTGGCTGAGTAGCTCCTTCCTGAGGCTGATCAGCTGGGAGTCTTTGTCCATCTCCACCTGCTGAAGCTGGACTTGCAGTCGCCCAGCCTCCTCCCGCAGCTGGACTAGTGATGCCTGCCGACTCTGCACCTCTGTAACACACATACACAGGACAGTAATATCACTAATCAGACTGAAATAACAAAACAATATTTAGTCTAATCCAAAGGCGACCACACTACATATTCAAGTTCTGGAAATCCTGGTAGCACTAGCATGACATTTGTAACAAACTACTCTGCTTCTCTCACCCCTCCCTCTCTCTCTCATCTGTTGCACTCTACCTATCCCTTCAACTACATGTTTTTTGTGTTCACTCTCTCAACTACTGAAGGAATTGGGAGCTCTCTAGTCTGAGTCGGCCAAAGTTACATGTTCCAACAGCTAGTACTAGCTTGGAGGGAAAGGAGCAGTAGACCAGAAGCACTTCAACACATTAACAACCATGACCTCTGAGCCAGGACTTTGGCACTCTCTGGTTAGAAGGATAAGGCTGACTCTAAAACTGTGGAAAGGAACATCTGTGCACTGCCGTCACGCTTTTTACACCTTGAGTCACAGTAGCCTTTGACAGCACCTCTCCACATTAAGGTTGGTTTTGGACATATTTCAAATAAAAATATTCAGAAAAAATGAACTAATACTGTAATACTGTTATGCAAAAAAATAATAAAGGAACTGTGTGATTATAAAATACAAGCAAAAGGACTTCAGTCTGCAATATTGTTAAAGCTACTCTACTTAATTTCTTTTCAGCTACTAGAGGGTCTAGTGAGAAGCAAAACAAAGTGACACAAAAATTCATGGTTCGGTTTATATCACAGTTTTGGAGTCACGGTTTTCGGTTCAGTACATTTTTGGTAAAGCTGGGGGAGGGCACTGCCAGTTTCAACATGCATTTTATTTATTTGGCAGAAAAAGTTAAATGTTGTCCTTAAAATTCTATCTAAATTCATGAGGAACATAAGTACTCAAAAGTGCAACATAAACCAAACACACACTGTAGACAGTTTCAAAACATCGCTACTCTGCTCATTCTATTTTCACATTCTTCTGGAAGATGCCATGTTTGTTCACAGATCAGGTCGTCCTCACAAACTGAGTGACAGTGCAAGGAGGAGACTAGCGAATGAGGCCACCAAGACACCTACAGTGGGTACAGAAAGTATTCAGACCCCCTTAAATTTTTCACTCTTTGTTATATTGCAGCCATATGCTAAAATCATTTAGGTTCATTTTTTTCCTCATTAATGTACACACAGCACCCCATATTGACAGAAAAACACAGAATTTTTGACATTTTTGCAGATTTATTAAAAA